TCAGCAGGTTTAGATCGGAATCGAAAATATTGGTAAAAGTACAAATATTAAAAGCTTACGAGTTACGAGTAAGATATTGTATCGATTAAGAAGAAAACAAGTATGAAGAAACCTAGAATTTCACCTGAAAATGCAGAACCACAGAGTATTGACGACGACGAGATGAGACTCGAAGAGAAGAGAGTGACCCGTGTGAACCGGTGGAAATGAAACCTAGCTTTATAAGGGGAAGGGGCCTAGTAATTTCTTCTGGTCTCAAAATTACAGGACAGTCCCTCGTTGTTCTCGATCATGAAATGACGACAATACCCCTTTAAAGTAAACTTTTATGAATCTTTTTCCTCTCTCCGATTTCCACATACTTTAAAATGGGATATTATTTTAAGATTTCTTCAAAATAAATAAGAGACTGTCTACTGATAGTCATCCGTAGGATCAATTTTTTGATTATTAGATTTAATTAAAATTAAATAACATTTAGAAAGTATGTAAAATAAAAAGTTTCTAATACAGATCTGATGGTTAAAAATGATTGAAAAAAATAAAACTATCGGTAGTTTTATTTTTTTAATCCTACAAGAGAAACTCCTAATAAATAAATAAGAATATTTTGACACATTAAAATTTGGACTTTTGGCAATGAATTTTTCATACTAATGATGTCTGGAATTCAGATATATTGTCCCCATTTTTCTATGTGTCTCTTTAGTTATTATTTGTCATCTCATCTAAATTTAAAAATTTAATTAAATGAAAATAAATTATTAAAAATACTTAAACAAATCACGAATTGTTAAAATTTAATTAAAAATATTGTCATTGAGATAGGAATGTGAGACAACAGATTTTAATTCCATGTCTGATGCCAATTTCTTCCATTGGTAAATATTCTTATTTTAACATTTAAAAGAAACAAAAGAAATAAAAATTGGGACGTGTATTTGTGTATTTTGTCCCACAGAAAATAGGGGAAAGAAAAAAAATATATATTTTGGCTAATGGAAGAAAACATAATTAAATTACAATCTCTTTTTTGCAACAGGAGTCAATAAATTGATTATTATTTTCCTTCTTCTCTTTTTCAATTTTAATTATAGATTTAACATTTTCAGAAAAAAAAAATCTAGATTTAACTTAAAAAATCACCGTAACGACTTTCTACCCATGTCATCATTAACATTCACATTTATTTAAAACGAGCGTCTCAATCAGTGAAAAAAAAAAATGCTATCAATTATCAACTCAAAGAGTAAAGACTCGTTGTTGAGTGTGTGATTTATTACAAACTTTAAAAATCGATATTTTCACTTATTATCATCCCTTTTTTGAAAAAAAAATACTACCATAATTTAATTTGTTATCATTCTTCAATATTTTTTTTAATCATTTATTCGCCATGTATACTGTTAAATCTTTGAAAACGAATTGACATTCACGTAAATGAATTACTATTACGGGAACGACAACGACATGTTATTTTTTTTAAAGGAGACGTTTGGTAAGAGAATTCATACCATAATTTGAATCATGATTCATGGTTCGTTATAATATTTTCTCTTATAAAAAATACACATAAATAAAAAATAATTCTAATCTCATAATTTTAATCCATGAATCAAACATCTTCCAATTCCAACTCTGTTTGTCTGACATATAGTGCTATCAAAAGCGTTTGTCTTAGGACCAACTGCGACGACTGATGTCTCGTACTTATTAAAAAAAACCGACATGCACGACATGACGTTTTTGTTAAGACCAACTCACCGTGTCAAGTTATAGTACTATTAAGCCCGTTTGGTTCATGGATTAGAACCATGAGATTAGAACTATTTTCGATTTATGTGTGTTTTTTATGAGAAAAAATATTGTACCAAACAATGAATCATGATTCGAATCCTCCAACTAAACGGGCTAGTTGTTTTTTAATTCCACATCATATGTTCCCTTCATGTCAAACGACATGAAGTTTTGGCCCAAAAGACAAAAAAGTTGTTGAAACCATCAAGTATTACTCACCATGGTATTAAACTGCTGGAAGAAATTTCATGAGAAAGACGACAAAAATAATCTTATAGGTGAGCTACAAATGAAGCAGACGTTTAATTTATGGATTATAATCATGAGATTAGAATTATTTTTAATTTATATGTATTTTTTATTAAAGAAAATACTGTAACGAATCATAAACTGTGATTCGAATTAAGGTACGAATCAATTTTATTTATGTACTTAATGCTACTAATTTTCTTATTTTGTTTAGTCTTGCTTGCATTATATACATCTAACTTTAACCCACATGTTATCGAAACTTTGTTGTCTCTACAGGAAGTACATTATTTATTTACAAATCTATTATCATAAGCATGATTATGCATAAAAATTATATAATGATACTGATTGGGAACTAAAGATTGGCACGAATACATTGCAAAGATGATCAAAATCACATTATACGAATAAAAACTTACACCAACCAAACACAACAATCATATAATCAACGAAGACTTAAATCAATTAGCCTCTGCTAAAAATACATACGACTTTTATTACAATTTTACCACCAACAGACATAGAGAGCAGAAAATTGTAAAAGCATTTTTTTTTTATTTATAGAAATTTCATTTTCTTTCATTTTGTAAAATTTAAAAATGCGCTCCAAATAATCTCAAGCCATCTCAATCTGACCAGGAACAAACTTTGTGGAATTCTCCTTCTCACCTTGCCCCCAAATGGCGTACGCTTCCTCTCCATGAGCCGCCTCGTCTCCGATCTCCAAATCCTCGTCCGACATTCTCAGAGGCACGACAAGCCCCACGAGGTAGCAGATTATGCTTGTAACAATGACGTTTATCACCACGACGAACAATATCCCGTAAAGCTGTATTCCCAATTGCCTAAACCCGGTTCCCGCTTTCCCCAACTGGAGGCCGTAGAACAGACCCATGTATTCGTTGCGGACGGTGTAGAACAAGAAGCAGAGTTTCGGCTCGGCGAAGAGGCCGGCGAGGATTCCTCCCAAGGTTCCGGCGACGGCGTGGGTGTGAAGTACGGCCATGGTGTCGTCTACTTTCTGGAGGAGCTTTGATTTCTTGTGGACGACCATCATGGTGAACCACGGGATTGATCCGGAGAGGATTCCCATTATGATTGCTGCCCAGCCTTGCACGACCCCTACATGTCCGATGAAATGCCCCAATGAAGTTTTGTTAAACACATTAGACATCTTTTAGTATGGAAAGAGATTAGAAATAATAGTTGTGTTTGGAATTGATTTCGTTTTTATTTTTTACGTATTTCAAGAAAGAAAAAATAAAAACGTTTTTAAAACGGTGTTTGGCGCAATAAAGATAAAAAACGGAAATGAAAACGATTTTTTGGTTTAGTGTAAAATGAGAGAGAAATGAAAAACGATTTTTACCGTTTTTCATTTTTTATTTTCATTTTTTCCTCCCTCGAGGAGAGAGGGAGAAAAAGAGACATTAATAGTTACCGTTTTTCATTTTTTATTTTCATTTTTTCCTCCCTCGAGGAGAGAGAGAGAAAAAAAGACATTAATAAGTTTTTTTATACTGAAAATAATCTATTTATAAAATTACCAAACGTATTTTTAAAAATAATTTAGGTCTGAAATTGAAAACGAAAACGTTTGAATGGATCTTAGTTATACATTTTAGTTATTTAGTGGGGCATTGATTACAATTTTTCTTGTAAAGTAAGGGCACAACAACATATTTCAATTATCAAGTTGGACGTATATTTTTTCTTAAAAGTAAGGGCATAAATAAAAATTTTTCAACATCTTTGGGAAAATGTAAAATATCAAACGTTGTGTGGAATAGTTAAGAGTTATTTGTGTGTGTCAAGAATTTGGTTTGATAATTTAAAGGGTTTTTTTTTTTTTTTTTGGTGTTACCTGCAGCTGGGGTGATGCAGACCAAGCCGGTAATCATGCCTTGGACGGCACCGATGACGGAGGGTTTTCGGAAGAAGGAGATGTCGAGCAGGACCCATGTGAGCAAGCTGGCGGCGGTGCAGACGTGGGTGTTCAAAACAGCCAAGGAAGCGTCCATGCTTACGACGTAAGGATCTCCTCCGTTGAATCCTGTCCATCCCATCCAAAGCAATCCCGCCCCCGCCAGCATGAGAAGGACGTTGTTCGGAGGAAACCTTTCCCGGTCCTTGTTCAGCCTCGGTCCAACCTGTGAAAGTGAATTGTGTTAATCAAAATGCTTTTGTTGAAGTTTGAGTAACTGTTGGAAAGTTCTTAGTTTCATACCCAATATGCTGCAGTGAAACCTGCAACTCCGGAAGACAAATGGATGACATACCCGCCGGAGTAATCTATCAATCCTTTAAGAGCGAAATACCCCTTAGGAGACCAGATAGTAAACGCTACAATAGTGTAGGAAAAGGTTAGCCAAAGAGGGACGAACAACATCCACGCGTAGAAGTTCATCCGTCCTAACAACGCTCCAGCAACGAGAATCAAGGTGATTGCCGCGAACACAAACTGGAAATATATCATCGTCACGGTAGGAAACAACCCAAGGAAAGCCATCTTGAAGTAGAATGTTTGGTCCAAAGCAACATTGGCTTTCCCCCAAAAGGCAAACAGTTTCGCCCCGAACGACATCTGATAGGCCCACCCAACCCAACAAATGAGAACACAAGCAAAAGCGTAGAGCACCATGAAAGCTGAATTCACTGCCCACTTCTTCTTCACCGCGCCTCCGTAGAGGAGTAGTAGCCCCGGAATGCTTTGCATCCCGACGAAAGTCGCTGCTGTCAGCTGCCATGCGTTGTCGGCTTTGTTCATCCATTCGGGGCTTGCGTCAGACCACGCTAGGTTAGAAGGGAACGGAACAGTGGCGTTGATGTTGCTCAT